AACAATTTCATCTATACTTTATCTCGCACATAACGTACAAAGTATGAAAACAATTGACCTAGAAATTATCTTACTTTTTTACACTCATTTTTAAATAATCTTATTAATTACATCAATTAGTCTTGCGAATTTAATAATAAAATCGTCTATTTCGATAATTAAGAACAAAAAATAATTTAATCATTTTCTTGGATAAATTGATATTATTAAAGTAACAGACTTTGTTTAAATGAAATCTCTTTCAGATTTTTAAGTGAGTACAGAAAAAAATTTGTTAATTATTGATTCATTAGTTTTTTTTTCGTGTGTAAATTGTGTTTCAATGTAAGTCGAAAACCGCGTAAGTCAAAAAAATAATATAATATAAATATGTGAACAATTGCACGTACAAGGTGGCGCAAAACTAATGTCATAATGTCTGTTTTCGTCAAAAGTTTATTTGAAAGTGTAAAGTTTTACGGCATTTTCAATTGTTGCTGGCTCCAAATTTTTCGATTATTTTTTCAATGTTAGCTTTAAAGACTTGTAAGGTTCGTAGTTTGTTGTGGTAAACGCACATGGAAAACGACGACGAAATTCACATTGCGTTAAAACAAGAGACTGAAAATTTGTCAAAAATCCACTTTCTTGAGGTGTATATCGCTCCATGGCTTATTGGCAACTAATTCACTATATATCTACATCATAAATGTCAAAGAACAGTGACATTTGGCGCCATCTGCAAAAAATGGGAGTCAATTGAAATTATGACATTACTTTTGCGCCACCTTGTGTATTAAGTTAAGTGTTGAACCTGGAAACCTACGAAATGCAGAAAGTTCGCGTATATATGAAACCGAATAAGTAGATTTACTATGTATTAATTATAATAAAAATTTTGAAGAGCAAATCCTTCAAAATATAAATTTGTTATTTTTTTTCGTTGCATAATTTCTTGTTTGATTCTACAGCTTTTCAAATGTAAGTATTTGCGATTTATTTTTTAAGTTATGAGTTAATAAAGTGTTGGTTAATTAAGTGTCGAGTGGATTAATAATGGGCGAAGGATGGTTAAAGTAAATATCAGTTGGTTGGGCAAAAATTGATAATAAACCACGTCGGTAAACAGAGCACCGAAGGGATTTGTTGTCTGGCTGCTGCTGCTGTTAGCTTCCCTTGCTTTGCGTCGTTGTTGCGGGTGGAACGAGGGTTTTGTAGCGCAAATCCCATTCACTTAACTAAACACTGTTAAACAAATATAACTTAAAGCTCGAGGCTATTGTGCCGCGTCGAGTGTGCGGGCGGCGACCACCGCATATTCCGGCATTGTTGTCTGATTACGTCTGATTACACACACACTGGATAATCCCATAAGTATTTCACCTATTAATTCCTAATAAATAATCGATGAGGAATCCACTAATAACTAGCAAACCACAAAATCAAATTAAACCTCAAAGATGATAACAATTTCAAGCGATTAACCAACGCAAATTATACAACCGAATTTTACAATTCTCAAATTTCCAGCCTCGATCGAGCGCTTTACATGTATCTAATGTCTTTGCATGCATAAATTCCGTACGTTTCCATCCGGATTATTATTATAAGAAAACCTTCGCTCTTTCTCTTCATCTCGGTGCAGTTCTTTGATCTTCGTAATGGCATTTCCTGTAACCTTTTCTGGGCCCTTCGGGCCATTCCACGATGGAAATTTTTATGCAACAACATGATAATTGATGAAGGAGAAGGGATCGAAAGGGACGGGAAAAAAAAATTAGGTCCCCATTTTTCGTATTCAAATCGGGTCACGCATAACTTTATATTCAATATCCATAAGTGGATGAGTTCGACACGGCGCAACAGAAAAAAAAAATAGTGTGTAGGTGGAGAGCGAAGAGAAAAATATAAAAAAAAAATTGGAAGAGAAAACTTTTTCGGTATCCCGGCGGAATCAAAAGGCACCGAATATGAAAATATCTCTCCCTTTCTGCTTTACTATCCCTATGCATATATATATATACGTATGAGTGTATAAGTGTGTGTGTATACATGTATAAATATCTGTTTTTAGTTTATAGCCGACGTCCTATATTTTCCGATCTCCGGCTACGTTTTTATGGGCTCCGTATAGGGAGAATTCACTTTCCTAACAGCCCTGCATCCTCTCTCCCTCACTCACTCTTGTATATGAATATATATACATACATACACACACACACGTACATCAATCAAACCTCTAGGCCTGTCTGTAATGGTCCCTCTAGTCCCGCAGCACTAGTTACACAAACTCTTTGTGATCTTCCTTTTTGATGTTTAACACATACACACACGGGGCCGAAAATATTAGCCCTTTCAACGTTTCGGATTAGTTTCTTCTAGCAAAATTAGAGCTGCGTCTATACATTTAGACGACGACGCGGCTCGCTGTCATCCTTTGACGCTCGTTTTCCTCCATCCCTCCGACACTTCAAACGACGATTTTAAACGATTCTGGCGAATACCTTAATCACACATTGAAACAATGAAAACTCCATTCTCCACCTCCTCGTACTTCCCTTCTACAATATTCTGATAGAAAAACGTGTATGTGAAAAACACAATTTTCCTTGACGTCTTTCTGCAAAATTCAACACAACACATTTCATAACAATCATCATAATTACACAGTTACATCATCACTAATTTCGTTTTTATTTGAATAAATAAATTTGCTTATAAAGTTTCAAATGTTTCTACATAGTACATAGAAAAAGTTGTTTCTGTATTTGTTAAAGTCTAACGATATTTCATGTCAAATTTCAAGAAGATCGGTAAGAATGTATAGGAGAAAATGCAAGATTATTGAAGTAATGTTAGTAGAAATTTCACCTCCAACACTGCAAGAAATAGTTTCTCCATTCTCTACGGATTTCGTCGTCAACTCAAGCCTATGAATGTCAAAATTCGTATGGAGTGAATGCATCATTCCTTATGATCATTTTTAAGTGGTTTCGAAGATTCCAAATCGGGCATTTTTTCTGTTGAGGATGAATCTCGTGATGGTCGCCCGAAATCTTCGACCGACTCATTCTTTGACGTTCGTTTTCCTCCATCCCTCCGACACTTCAAACGACGATTTTAAACGATTCTGGCGAATACCTTAATCACACATTGAAACAATGAAAACTCCATTCTCCACCTCCTCGTACTTCCCTTCTACAATATTCTGATAGAAAAACGTGTATGTGAAAAACACAATTTTCCTTGACGTCTTTCTGCAAAATTCAACACAGCATATTTCATAACAATCATCATAATTACACAGTTACATCATCACTAATTTCGTTTTTAATTGAATAAATAAATTTGCTTATAAAGTTTTTTATTAGTTAAAATCAATTAAATTCTCTACGGATTTCAACGTCAACTCAAGCCTATGAATGTCAAAATCTATATGGAGTGAATGCATCATTCTTTATGACTATTTTTAAGTAGTTTGGAAGATTCCAAACCGGGCCTTTTTTCTGTTGAGGATGAATCTTGTGATTGTCGCCCGAAATCTTTCACCGACGACACAAATGTAGCCCTGGTGAAGGCAAAAATTGACAAAGAATTACACAGGAAATGGAACAGGTATTAAGTCTTCACTTGGGCTACACGAAGAAATGGGTTCCTTATTGCAGTTAAAGTCGAATTTGAAAAGCTCCAAATTTGAAGAATGTTTTGAAACGTTCTCTTCTACCGACTTAAGAAATGTATTAAAATAAATGGAAATTATGTTGAGAAATTACAAAAGGATGAAAATTAAATAAAATTGTTAGAAAAGTGCGAGAAAAAGTACGTACATCAGTAAATGATATATTTTAACTTTTCTCATTCTCAATTATTATGAATACTTTATTTCATGAGATGACCTCATGATTTCAACTATATTTTTATTATATCATAAACATAGAAATTATAGTAAAAATTCGAATGTTTACGAGGCATAAAAAAAAACTTGCATAACTTATTATTACGCCCATATAAAACTTCTATTATTATTATTTTTTTCCTATTTAACAAGAAAACTATAAAACTTGTTTATTCCTTGAACTGTATTAAAATCTTTTACAACAATAGTGTCTACATAATAATAAATATTTGTCATATAAACAACTTTCTTTTCTTGTAGAAAAAAAACGCTACAATTTCAACAGTTTATAAAATTCTCAATAAAAATTTACAATAACTTATTTCCTTTTTCCAATTGGAACAATTATAATCAAAATTATAACAATTTTCATCAATTATAGATAGAAGTAAATGTTTATTATTCAAACAATTAAAACTCATTTAAAAAAAGTTTCTAAACTTATACTTCAATTAGTTTAGATTCTTATACAACCAAAATTTGAAAAATTTCCATCTTCATCCTACAAAACTTCCATTAAATATTTCACTGAAAAAAAATAAAATTTTTATTAATTAAAACAAATTAATTATTTTCCGCACTTAATTAAAAACACGTTGTTGCAAGTGTTACATTTCCAAATCGACAGACTTAATCGAACAATTCTTAAAAAATTCCATCGTTTCTTAAAGAAATAATTACTAATTACAAACAACATTCATCCGAACAACTCCGCAACACGACAAAAGTATCTTTACAACTCTTAATAACCACTAGGGGAGAGGCGTTTCGCCGTATTCAGATTGCGCAGAAATATTTGTGAGTGTAATTGCTTTTTCCCCTGAAGCACCATTGTTTTCCCACTCGCATCAACAACGACAACTAAAAAAAAAATAAAAAAACATTAGCCAATTTGAAAAGACCTTATTTCTACGTTTTTATTATAATAATTATACTTACGCAAAGAAAGAATGTTAAGGGAGAATTCCACTCTTTTCAAAAGAAGTTAAATAAGCAATTACAAGCCTCCCCCAAACACTTCATACTTATACATCCTAATAATGGAAATAAAAGGCGAAGATTACTACAGTTTATGTGTGTGTGTGTATATTTTTTATATATATTTGCATAAATTGCTGAAGGGTGGAAGTGGATGTAGGAAAAGGGGAGTGAGATTCAATTAAGGGTAGAAATTAAACGTCAGAGCCACGTATCTCGATCGTGATTTGCATGTGGGCAAACGATATCGGGGCTCTTCTATTTACTCTTACAGTTGCTGTCTTAAGAGGAAGCCAATTTGCATGGGATTTCGAGGATTTACATTTTTCTATTCTTTGAAAGGCAGACCCGACGGTAATCGCTAATTTGAATTGCAATCCTCTAAATCTTTCAAAACTGATACACGACCTAAAAAAAAAGAAACGTAAAAAACGAGAGAGAGTGGAGGAAATACACAAAAGGCTTTTAATACGGAAGGAAAGCTGAAAAGAACAAAGTTTTTACCATCCCCTTTTGTTTCAGCGCTTTTAATCTTTTAGATTCGGCGAGTCCCCTTCACTAATAAGGAATCAATTCCTTTTCATGTAACTTCTTTAAACCGTGGAGGAATCGAGGACGTGCATTAATTACGCGAAGGCAAATATTAATTTCGAGCTCGTTTATTATTAGATTAAATAATTGTAAAAAAAAATATGAATGTTCCAGTTGTAATATTCTCGCTGTTGGAATAAGGATAATTAACGGAAACTTGTGTTAATTTACTTAGCAGTTGAAATATATATATATTTTATACTTGCTTCGGTTAACTTAAATCCATTTATTAAATCATCTCGTGCGCGCGTACGTCTTTAATTAGACAATCTTGGGGATGCTGACGAGGTTGTTGGAAACTGCGTAGCCGAGCAGGGCTAAAGCTACGAACGTGAGGGCGAGCAGTTTCGTTTTCATTGGGGCGCTCGAGCTTTCGTCCTGCTGTTTGTCTTTCGCTTCGATCTTCAAATAGACGTGGTCGTCGCGGAGGCCTGAGAAATACGCCTCGTCTATTCTGCTCACATACTTCAGCAAGGTCGGGTAAGTTTTCAGCAGGTCCTGGATCTCCTTCGACGGGAACGGGATCTTCGCCAGCGGCGCCAAGTACGCGTAAACCATGCAATCCAACGAAGACGGGGAACTGCCGTAAAAGTAATCGTTCTTCCCCAAGCGCGTCGAGAGCATCGAAAACGCGTCCACGGCCATATTCCTCACGTAACCCTGCAGTGTCGTCAGATCTTCGGTGTTTGGAAAATGCACTTCGAGAAGATCGCGAGCTTTGCTCTGCCGCCTCTTGATGTACAGTACGTTGAGAAGGAACGGCATCACTTTCGTGTACCAAGGTCTCGTCAGTTGCTCGAAATTGCTTCTATCCAACCACAAGGTGTACTCGAGGAGCGGCTCCAGCATCTTCGTGCATTGGCACATCAGGGCCAAAGTTTCGCTGCAATTCTTGCAGCTCAGCCCGAAATCCAGGCTGTATCTCATGAAGCGCAGCTGCTCGACGATGCTCGAGTATTGGGTGAGGGCGTACCTCCCCGTTCTGAAGATCGGGAATCTGGACTCGCTGAACCAGTACGGGTTCCGTTTGTAATGTATTTCTGCGGGGACTTTGGCGAACTTCAAGTAGGTTATCAGACGGATGCAGTCCGGACAGATGGAGACGAGGCCGTAATCGCCGTTCCACGCGATCACCTCCATTCTGCCACCTCCTTCTTCCTCTTCCATTCCCATGGACACATTAATTTCACGATTCGCAAAACGTCAAAATATCAAAAAACAAACAAAAAGTCACTTGTCTCTGTGACAAAAATAAAATATGTATAACAAAAAAATTGGTGCTGCGATTTTTCTGCACGTTCTGAATCGGATTTATTTATATTTTATTTACTTTTTTTTTGATTAATAATACGCGTTTGTAACTCGAGTTTACGGCAATTAACTCGCGTCAATTAAGCTCATTTGTGTGTTTAGCGCGCCGACACGTGTAGTTCGGAAATTGGGCCTCGGATGTAGCACATATTTGTAGTCGAGTGTAACGCACGCATTACCAATACTATTTCACACTAATAACACTGATTGTTCAAATCATCCAAATTAAAAAAAAAACTTGCAATATTCAGGTATGATATTGAAGTATAAATGCTATAAAAATCAACAAACTCATCAACATTCTAAATGATCTGTAAAAACTTAAAAAAAAAATAGAAATGTAGCTTGTAATAATAATTATTAATAGTTTCAAATAATTGTAAATTTTATCAAAAAAAAAATAATTATGATTTTGGGACAAATTTGCCAAAACTGCTTCAATATTTATAGAAAAATACAAGAAATGATCTTATTTCTTAAATCCTTATTAATTTACATATTTTATTACATACAGTTGTATTCTTAATAGTTTTAATAAATTTTGTAAATTTTCTATTGGTACTTTTCGAGATATTCATGAAAATTTGAAATTTTCGAAAAATTCATTACATAATTAATGTTTAGAAATATTGATGAAACTCTTAAACTATAATCTTGAAAACTATAATAATTAAAATAATTATGATTTTGGGTCAAATTTGTCAAAACTGATTCAATATTTATAGAAAAATACAAGAAATTGATATTATTCCTATAATTTCCTTAGTCCTTCTCGAGATATTCATGAAAATTTGAAATTTTAGAAAATTTATTAAATAATTAATGTTTTTATGTTCTAATAATGCTCTAATACTGATTGTTTAAATCATCCAAATTAGAAAAAAAAATCTTGCAATATTCAGGTATAATATTGTATAAATGCTATAAAAATCATCAAACTTATGAACATTCTAAATGATCTGTAAAAACTTTAAAAAAATAGAAATGTAGCTTGTAATTATAATTATTAATAGTTTATTTCAAATAATTGTAAATTTTATCAAAAAAAAATCAATGATTAAAATAATAATGATTTTAGGGGAAATTCATCAACACTGCTTAAAATGTTATTGAAAACTACATTTCACATTAACTTTCCTGTTAATTTATATATTTTATTACTTACAGTTCTATTTTCAATAGTTTTAATAAATTTTGTAGAATTTTCAAAAAATTGTTTTGTGGTTTAGAAATACTCATGAAAATTTAAAACTATAATCAAAATAATTATGATTTCGGGACAAATTTGTCAAAACTGCTTCAATATTTATAGAAAAATACAAGAAATTGATCTTATTTCTTAAATCCTTATTAATTTACTTATTTTATTACCTACAATTGTATTTTCAATATGTTTAACAAATTTTGTAAATTTCCTATTAGTTCTTCTCGAAATATTCATGAAAATTAGAAATTTCTAAAAAAAATTAATGATTTTCTTAAATTTATAATACAAATTACTAGAAGAGGGGACAAAAAATGTATTTGTTGTAAAATAAATGTAAAGAAGTTGTTTAAAAAAGTATTAATTTGTAAATTATTCTGAAAATATTCATGAAAATTAGATTTTTCCAAAAGTTTTCAAATTACTAAAAGATTGTATAAATTTATTTACTCGTTGTAAAAATAAGCATAAAACAAACAACAAATCACTTTGTTTAATAGAATTTTGTTGATAAATTGTGTATTGTGAAGAAAATTTGGATGCATCGTTGTAAAGGAAGTTTGAAATATGTGTAAAGTTTTAGTGGCAATTAATTACCGAAATTTCGTGTAAATTAATTTGGATTTTAATGGGGCGAAGCAGAGTGGATGGTCCTCAAATTTATGCAACATATTTTGTTATTAAATTAAGCTTTGGAGTAATAGCAGTGGTAGTAGTAGTAGTAG